ACATGTTTTATTGAATCTAATTCCCTCTATGGAGTTGATAAGCTGTAGTTTTGTGTTGCGATACTTATGTGTCACTGAAGCAATATTTGCTGAAGATATGTTATTCATTGTGACCCTTGGTTGGAAATATAATTGATAAAATGGAAGAATTACCTTATCCAACCACAGTTGCTAGTATGACAACTAGTTTCGTTCCTTAGAACATCGTCAGGTCATTGTATGCAACCACATCTTCAATGTTTTAACCACACCATTCAACATTTTAAATGATCAGACTTCCTTCCAGTCAAATATTATATTTGATACATATATTGACAAGCTACAAATCAAAGAAGTATCCAAATAAGAAGAACAAAACAAACTGAAATACAGGTGGCACTGGAGAGATGAAGATGAAGACACCTCATGATTCAGTCAGTTTTATTTAGTCAGTGACAGTGATAAAGAGAGTGCTGGCCAGCCTTTACAGTTTTAACCAGTTTTATCACTTTTTATTCAATTTTAATAGTTTGATCAACATGACTAGTTTTTACTATTGTGATTCTGACAGTGTTTTTAAAGAATCTTTTGACATACCACAATGTACATACATACATTGAAGATGTGGTTGCATACAATGACCTGACGATGTTCTAAGGAACGAAACTAGTTGTCATACTAGCAACTGTGGTTGGATAAGGTAATTCTTCCATTTTATCACTAATATTGCTGTGTGCACTTCGAAAAGAATTAATCATTAATTAAATTAGGACTATATGCTCCTCTGTCAAATTCATGAGAAGATGTAACAACGTCGTTTTAAACCAAATATGCCTACTGGTAGGCCTATTGTCTACCACCTCGCTTTACTCTGCGATACTAACTTACAAAATAGTTTTAAACATTGCCATGTAGTAGTCTAAAGTTAGGTTGGAAAAAATATATAGGTTCCAGCTACTAGGAATAATAAGGTTTCAAGTTAAGCAAACTGCTTATTTTGATGTCATTAGTTATGTAACGTACCGGTAAACCAATTCCTAAAGTTTTCACTTATTCTTTGTAGTCTACATTATAGTCGTATTGATCAATTGTATTGCACCAAAGGGAAATTTTGAAAGTGGTTGACAATATATTTCTTACTTTTAACTGCTGAAATAAAACTAGACCTAATTATATTATCGATTAGCCTATCTCAATTATTCGCTGTTAGGAAATTATTACAAACAAAAAGTTAATGTATTTATATAAAAAATGCATTCTTATCACAAAATTAAATTATAAATGTCTCAGATAAAAAAACTGATTAGTGAAGTTAAGAGAAAATCATATTTTAACAAAATTAGAAGCAAAACTTTAAGGCCGCCGAGGAGATTCGAACCTGGGATCTCAAATAATGCACGTTATTGCCTTTTAATAATTTAGGTATCGCATAGGTTTACCATGATTCATTTGCAGGATATAGAAATTATTGAGCAGAGCGTAGCGAAGCTCTTATCATTGACTTTATAACTTCTCTTATACTACACTCCTACTTTTGATTAATAGCATTGAGCATAATTTACTACAAAATTAATAACCATAAGGGTTGCCAGAATTAGGCTAATGCACCATATTGCGTTTGGATACTGTAAATAACTTTTACAGTATTTTATGTGAGCAAGACGTGCCATTAATGTAGACTTTGAATATGTACTGCAATTCCTATTTGCAGTGTACAAATAGGAATTCCATTAAGGTGAACCAAATATAACACTCATAGTTTCGATACTGCAATTACACAATTCGTTGACATGAACCCGACGCATAATTTACTTTAAATACTGCACATAGACATCCCATATAAGTGAAGCAGAAGTAGGCCTAAGCCTACCATTGACTTCGGATACTGCAATTCGGCATTTTATTTAAGTGAACGAAATAAATGGACCATGATTTAGGATACTGCAAGTAGACTATTCATTTACATGTACCATTGAGTTTGGATACTACAAGTAAACAATCCGTCTACGTGAACCGGACGTACAATTGACTTAAGAATCTTTAAATTGGCATTCCATTTATGCGAACCAAATGTATCATTAGCATTGGTTACTGAAAGTAGACATTTAACTTATGAGAACCAGATGAAACATAGAATATGGTTCCTGCAAGTAGACAATTCATTCACTTAATCCTGACTTATGATTGACTTTGGATACCTACTGCAAATAGGCATTCTATTTAAAATGCGAACCAAATATATCATTGACATTAAATTAATATGCTGGCTCCGCTCAATATTGCAAGCAGAAAACTGCATTGTACACCTAGTTATATCTTGTTCTTGTACGGAGTTATCATATTGTTATTTTTCTGCAAGTTTTATATGTTTTTTATGAAGTATGTTCTGCCTCTTTACTGAAGTTTCACTCGGCTACTGGCATCATTGTTATTGTTCCTATACTGGTTTTGTTTTTCGAATATCTCGTTTTGTCAACTTGTTCAGATAGTTTGTTATTTATAGTTGTTACTTATAGTTTGTTATTCATAGTTTGTTATTTATAGTTGTTATTTATCTTTTTATGTCTTGTATTAAAGTCTTGTTTTCCAGTTTTTTTTTCACTACTTTTGTACTGGCCTGTGATTTTTTCTGCTTCTTCCGTATGTAAGATTATTGTATTATTCATGTAAAAATGATGCAACTGTTAACAAATAAATAAATAAAATAAAATAAACAGATTTGTAATAAGTTAAATTTAATATTGTGTTAGGGTTCGTAGCTCAACTCTAACGCTCTAACTCAACCGAATTTAAAGATCAATAGCTCAAATGAAAGCTCATACATCACTGAATATCTTAAGACTAGAACGATCTGCAAGCGTTAATAGGAACTGGAGATATAAGAAAAATAATCTTAAAAATGTTCAAAGTACGAAACGTCCGTAAGAAATGTAAGGGGGAGAGTTTTTATTTGAATATATCTTCCAAACGAAAAAATATATTTAAAAACATATTTCAGCATTGAAATCAGCGTGAAAATTTAGTTCATAATGATGTGTCACAACACTAGCATTGTATAAAAAAGTTATTAACATCCAATATGGCGAATCCAAGATGGCGACCGAAAACACCAAATTGGCCACACTTTCAGACAAAATACTCGGTAGTACACGGTTCTACATGTCATTACCTATCAATCGCCAACAATCATACAATTGCTATTGAAATCAGCGTGAAAATTTAGTTCATAATGATGTGTCACAACACTAGCATTGTATAAAAAAGTTATTAACATCCAATATGGCGAATCCAAGATGGCGACCGAAAACACCAAATTGGCCACACTTTCAGACAAAATACTCGGTAGTACACGGTTCTACATGTCATTACCTATCAATCGCCAACAATCATACAATTGCTTAATTCAAAATCCTACAAAATTACATATGCCTCACAACTATAGTCTAATTTATTTTATTTTCTAATACCTATAATTTGTTTATAGCAGACCTACCGGTGGCAGCAGACCTGTATACTCAACGAATTACAAATGCTTCAATAAATAATTAAAATGGAGCCACACATCATCATTTCTCAAAGTATGTTCATGAACAAGCATGCAAAAAATTGTCCATAAGAATAACATTGGAAGTTAGTATGCAGGTTTGCTGCCACGGAAATGTAAAAATGGGGTATTTTAGGCCATATTCAAGTAGATCTCTACTAAATGAAGCCACATACGAATTATTATTAAGATATGCTGAGTAATAAGCTAGATATACAATTTTATTTTTTTCCCCATAAGGATAACATGGCGACAATGTTCTGTGTTTTCCGCCTTCAATATCTCGGTAACCAATGGTCATAGAGCAATGATTCAAAACACCAAATTGTTTGATTTTTTGAGCTGAATTCAATGGTGTAAATTAAAATTCGATTATTTTACTCTGAAAAGAGTTACTATGAATTTAGTGAATAGATGTCACACATGGCGGCCATCTTGGATTTACGACGTCATAAAAACCAAACCCCGCAATTTGAGGGTAAACACCCGGTACTACACCATTATGTGACGTATAATAAAGAGATTCCACATAGTCAAACATTTGCTTCACAAAAAATCCCACGGAATACAGTTTGCCCCAAGACTATATAGGGTGAAAATAGAGAAGTATGTACATTACATATTTTTGGTCGAGTTTTCGACAACTGGACAACCACTAGTATAAATTATTCATCAAGGTATCAAAATTATTAAGAAATTCTTAAAGTTTTGGAGTCTTTTTATGACTTTCAGACGGTTTTGGCCTAATTTTCTCTCTCTTTGTTTGCAAGATTACGCCTAAACCTGATCATCCTAATTTTTATTGACAAAAATTGCTTAAATTAAACATTTTTGTTGTATATGATATAGTGAATAAAAAATATATATATTTCCGTAAACTGTGTAATTTTATCTGAACCTAGAACACAAATTGGCACCAAATTCGAGCTTGATTAAGATTCAATTTATCTCACTATTATTAGATCTTTTGGTTTATAAATATTTGATTGATTAGTATCGCTCCTATAACAAAGAAAAATGTAAACTCTTTAATTTGTAATAATTTTATCCAACACAGTGAAAGATATTGGTGCAAATAATTTATTATTCCCTTTAGTATTCCTACCACCCAAACTTTCACAAGCCCTATTTCTGAATAAATTTGTCCTTCCCAACTACTTCTATAAATAAATATTTCTTTGTCAAAGAATTAGTTAATCTGGATTGTATTCACACCAAAGTAGCTTAACAATATTGTCTCACAACATTAATTTAGTATTTCTGTGGTCTATTGAACAGTATTAACAGAACAGTCTTAGTCTTGTAATGCTGAAACAATATTGTTGGAGATTCAATAAACATTGTTTCAACATTTAATAAATATTGTGTTGCTACCTGGAGAGTGTCTTTAAATGTGACTTACTTCACAATCCCTTACTGATTAATTTACTTATTTGAACAATTGGTTTGAGTACCATCAACCATCCTCACTACTCACCCCTGATGCTAGCCCACTGTGCACTGCTTCTAAAGCTCTTTCCTGGATAACCCTGGCCAAGTGACAAAGGACCACTCCGTTGTCTAGCATGTCAAGAAGATTCGATGACGTTAGGTGTTCCAACCCTACAACAAAACAAGGTTATCAATATCCATCCTATTCTTATGAGGTTGCTTCATGAACTCATCTTATTAAGATCCTAGCCAGTAAACAAATAATTACGTACATTACTCTGGTCAATCTCGAGTAGCCGAGTTACAATCACTTACAGGATGAAAAGAATATTTTGTATATTTTTACCAATAGGTAATCTGTCAGATAAAACTGTCAGGTGTACAAAGGCGACAAACACTGTCTCAATTTAAAATGAGAAGATTAACACTGCCATGATAATAATGTACGTCAATTCTCATAAAAAAGATAATCATCATTATACTTGAGGATTAAATACCTGAGAACTAAAAATGAAATAGCATAAGCATAATTAAATATGTCAGTTCTTAGAGTACACATGGATTGTGCAGCTGAAATAAACCTTCAGTTTCTAGAAATGAGAATATTCACTCTTTAAATAATACTGTTTACTGTTTTAGAAACTAAACAGTTATTCTTAAGAATCATCTAATCATCTAAAATTTATCATAGTATCATAGTACTAGTTGCGGGCCTTGATCCCAAACCACACCATATATATGTATTCAACTATACATATACTGTACATTGAATAGAAAAATTATCCATACCAAGTAGATGCTACATAATATTGATTCAACTAATGAAGTTCAAAATCTGGTACATAGAAAGTCCCTTGTCATGAAAGCTGTGAGTTATTTTCTTTGAGAGTGACTTGCGGCAAAATTAGAGTTCCACGTGAGTAGACAGGCAGAATGGCGTAACATCGAGAGAATGAGACGATGACAGAGAGGTCAGAGAACGCATTGGTCCAATAAATTAAAGCCGACTGTAAAATAATAAACAATGTAAACAAATAATGCTGTGATTGTTTTCCAACATCTGAAGATATCGTAATGTATGTGGTTAATAACGTGTTTTTTTTCAGTGGCCTAAGTACATTTAACTTCTTTGGTCTTAAAGAGATCATCTTTGTCTCCCGCGGTCACAGAAACAACGTAATCTTTTACCGCAATTGCGGCGAAGTCATAAATATCTTCTTCGGTCTTGTAAACATCATGATCGTCTACCGCGATCACGGAAACAACGTAATCTTTTATCGCGATTTCGGCAAAATCATGAATATTTTCTTGGGCTTGTAAATATCATGTTCGTCTCCCACGGTCACGGAAACAACGTAAACTTTAACCGAGATTGCGGAAAAATCATGAATATCTTCTTCGGTCTTGTAAACATCATGATCGTCTCCCGCGGTCACGGGAACAACGTCACCTTTCTCGCGATTGCGGTTAAACCATGAATATCTTCTTCAGGCTTGTAAACATCATGTTCGTCTCCCGCGGTCACAGAAACAACGTGACCTTTTACCGCGATTGCGGAAAATCATGAATATCTTCTTCGGTCTTGTAAACATCATGTTCGTCACCCGCGGACACGGAAACAACGTAAACTTTTACCGTGATTGGGGAAAAATCATGAATATCTTCGTCGGTCTTGTAAACATCATGTTCGTCTCCCGCGGACACGGAAACAACGTAAACTTTTACCGCGTTTGCCGAAAAATCATTAATATCTTCTTCGGTCTCGTACACACCATGGTTCGTCTTCCGCAGTCACGGTAACAACGTCACCTTTTATCGCGATTTCGGCTAAATCATGAATATCGTTTTCCATCTTGTAAACATCATGTTCGTCACCCACGGACACGGAAACAACGTCACCTTTTATCGCGATTGCGGCGAAATCATGAATTGGCCTATCTTTTTCGGTCTTGTAAACATCATATTCGTTTTCAACGGCCACGGAAACAACGTCACCTTTTATCGCGATTGCGGCGAAATCATGAATTGGCCTATCTTCTTCGGTCTTGTAAACATCATATTCGTTTTCAACGGACACGGTAACAACGTCACCTTTTATCGCGATTGCGGCGAAATCATGAATTGGACTATCTTCTTCGGTCTTGTAAACATCATATTCGTTTTCAACGGACACGGTAACAACGTCACCTTTTATCGCGATTGCGGCGAAATCATGAATTGGCCTATCTTCTTCGGTCTTGTAAACATCATATTCATTTTCAACGGCAACGGAAACAACGTCACCTTTTATCGCGATTACGGCGAAATCATGAATTGGCCTATCTTCTACGTCATATTCATTTTCAACGGACACAGTAACAACGTCACCTTTTAATGCGATTGCGGCGAAATCATGAATTGGCCTATCTTCTTCGGTCTTGTAAACATCATATTCATTTTCAACGGACACGGTAACAACGTCACCTTTTATCGCGATTGCGGCGAAATCATGAATTGGCCTATCTTCTTCGGTCTTGTAAACATCATATTCATTTTCAACGGCCACGGAAACAACGTCACCTTTTATCGCGATTGCGGCGAAATCATGAATTGGCCTATCTTCTTCGGTCTTGTAAACATCATGTTCGTTTTCAACGGACACGGTAACAACGTCACCTTTTATCGCGATTGCGGCGAAATCATGAATTGGCCTATCTTCTTCGGTCTTGTAAACATCATATTCGTTTTCAACGGACACGGTAACAACGTCACCTTTTATCGCGATTGCGGCGAAATCATGAATTGGCCTATCTTCTTCGGTCTTGTAAACATCATATTCGTTTTCAACGGACACGGTAACAACGTCACCTTTTATCGCGATTGCGGCGAAATCATGAATTGGCCTATCTTCTTCGGTCTTGTAAACATCATATTCGTTTTCAACGGACACGGTAACAACGTCACCTTTTATCGCGATTGCGGCGAAATCATGAATTGGCCTATCTTCTTCGGTCTTGTAAACATCATATTCGTTTTCAACGGACACGGTAACAACGTCACCTTTTATCGCGATTGCGGCGAAATCATGAATTGGCCTATCTTCTTCGGTCTTGTAAACATCATATTCATTTTCAACGGCAACGGAAACAACGTCACCTTTTATCGCGATTGCGGCGAAATCATGAATTGGCCTATCTTCTACGTCATATTCATTTTCAACGGACACGGTAACAACGTCACCTTTTAATGCGATTGCGGCGAAATCATGAATTGGCCTATCTTCTTCGGTCTTGTAAACATCATTTTCATTTTCAACGGACACGGTAACAACGTCACCTTTTATCGCGATTGCGGCGAAATCATGAATTGGCCTATCTTCTTCGGTCTTGTAAACATCATATTCATTTTCAACGGCAACGGAAACAACGTCACCTTTTATCGCGATTGCGGCGAAATCATGAATTGGCCTTTCTTCTACGTCATATTCATTTTCAACGGACACGGTAACAACGTCACCTTTTAATGCGATTGCGGCGAAATCATGAATTGGCCTATCTTCTTCGGTCTTGTAAACATCATATTCATTTTCAACGGACACGGTAACAACGTCACCTTTTATCGCGATTGCGGCGAAATCATGAATTGGCCTATCTTCTTCGGTCTTGTAAACATCATATTCGTTTTCAACGGCCACGGAAACAACGTCACCTTTTATCGCGATCGCGGCGAAATCATGAATTGGCCTATCTTCTTCGGTCTTGTAAACATCATATTCGTTTTAAACGGCAACGGAAACAATGTCACCTTTTTCGCGATTGCGGTGAGCGGTGACAGTTCGAAGTCATGGCCGCGGGCCACAGTGAACAAGAAAGTGACTCCATACGTTTAAGTGCGAAAAATCAACCGAATTACAGAAAAGGTTCACATTTTTCTTAAACTGTTATTCTGGAAGATCACTATGTAGCAGATGAGAATTCACTGTAGCAGGTACGAGTTACCTTACCTTGTGGACCACCATCTTTCCACACCGTGGCACCCCCCACTCTCTGCTACCAAATACCGGACAAGACAACCAATAAACAGATAAAGTTCACTATCCACAAGTGGCTGCCCTACCTCCCTGAGGTCGCGGCCGGGCAACGAAGCCCAGGTAACCCCAAATTTCGGGGAAATAAAAATCCTGGGTACGGCCAAAGGGTTAAACATCTAACTGGTGGACAGAGACAAGAAAGAATCTCATTAATCCAAAAACTGCACTGGCAAAACGCAGAAAATGGCGCACCAGCCAGGCAGCAGTACCGACAAAAACTTCATCCCTCGAGGGAACAGCCTAGCTAGGTACATACCTGCACTTACACTTCCAACTGATATAAGGAACGTTAAGTCCGTGAGATAAAATAGCCCCGAGGGAGAGAAGTCCCCCTTGAGCTCAGAACCACCCTTCAGAGAGACTCGAAAATCTAAAAGGAACCAGCATTCCAGCCCAGAAGGGGAGTTTCCGAAAAGGCACAAAGGCAGCGAGACCAACAACTCAGAGTCCGAAAAAGAAGAAAGAACTGACAGCGAATGTGAAGAAGATGCTATGTGCAACACCGAACAGCTTCAAAACATGTCATTTGAACACGTCATGGAAGTGATCGCCGAGCTTAAAAACATGACTTGCTTGGTCAAAACACTGTCAACACAAAATCGGTCAGTCACAAAAGCCCATGCACAACGCATGCACACATACTCAAATGTGATCCAAAAAGGCTTTCTCAAAATCCACAGAGAGTTCCTTGAACTGCGTGGCAGGTATCAGGAACTGGTCAGACAGAAAGAAAAAATTCCGGATCCAAGACAAGTTGAGCCTATAAATGTTTGCAAGCTCACAAATGATATTACCACGGAGGTCACCAAAAGAGTAATAGAAGCTATACATAGCACACAAAAACAACCCAGCATCACACAACCACGTGCACCTAGTTATGCTTCAGTTCTCAACGTGCCACCAAGTAACACCAAGAAAATCCAAGATCTAACTAAAGTGTTACTGGTGTACCCTAAAGAGGGCACGAGGACGTCCGAGGAGACCAAGGCGGAATTGCAGAAAAATCTGAAACCTGAACAACAAGGACTAAAAATAAAAAGACTCTCTAAAATCAAAAATGGAGGAGTGGCAATAGAGGTCTACAAGGAACAATTGGACCTAG